CTCCCCATCTATGCCAGGATTTTGACTGCTTTGATCTTGTGCTGCTATGTATTCCTTCTTGATTGGTCATTGATCCACTCATCATCATTCAGTATTCTGTTTATAGTTTCTTTTGCTACTTATCTAGCTTTATTCCATTATAGTCACATAGAATACAGGGTGTTATTCCATTTTTCTTACATTTGTTGAGGCTTGCTTTGTCTCCTGATATGTAATTAATTGTGGATAAAATTCCATGTGATGGCCGGGCGGTGGTGGCGCACGCCTTTAATCCCAGCACTCGGGAGGCAGAGGCAGGCGGATCTCTGTGAGTTCGAGACCAGTCTGGTCTACAAGAGCTAGTTCCAGGACAGGCTCCAAAACCACAGAGAAACCCTGTCTCGAAAAAACCAAAAAAAAAAAAAAAAAAAAAAAATTCCATGTGATGTTGAGAAAAACATGTTTCTGTAGTTTATTGGTAGAATATTTTGCAGATGTCTGTTAGGTCTGTTTGATTTATGATGTCAGTTAACTCTAGAGAGTTGGATATTAAAATCACCCACTGTTACAGTGTTGGGATTAATCTGTGGCTTTATGTCTAGAAGTATTTCTTTTATGAAATTGGTTGCACCTGTATTTGGTTCATATATGTTTAGAATTTTAATATCTTTTTAAAAATAGACTTACTTTGTGTGTGGTCAGTGTGTAGATGTGTGTGTGTCGTGGTGCATGTGTGGAGATTAGATTATAATTTTCAGGAATTGATTCTCTTCTACCATGTGAACACTGTCTTCAGGCTTGGATGAAGTGCTTTTATCCACTGGACCATCTTTTTGGCCCTGTGACATTTTATTTTAATTTTTTTGTGTATGGGTATTTTGCCTACATGTATGTCTTGTGTGCCTGGTGCCCATAGAAGCCAGAAGATGGTGTCAGATCCTTTGGAACTGGGATTATATGCAGATGGTTATAAGCCACTATGAGGATGCTAGGAAGCAAACCTGGGTCCTTTGGAAAAGCTGCCAGCGTGCTTAACTGCCAAGCCATTGCTTTAGCCTCTTGATGGATTGTTCTCTTGAACACAAAGTAAGCTATTTCTCTTCCGACTAATTTTGGTTCAGTGTTTATTTTGTCAGATACCAGAACAAGCTATACATGATTGTTTCTTAATTCCATTTTTCTTCAAATACCTTTTTCAATCTGTTTACCCTAAGGTATCTCTCTACCTTTGGTGATAAGATGTGTTTATTAGAGGTAATATAAAGATGAATCTTGTTTTCTATTCTAGTCTGCTAGTCTGTCTTTTTATTGTGAAACTGAGACCATTGATACTCAAAGTTATTAAAATGTATATTAATTCCTGCCATTTTGTTGAGTTTTAGATTTATGTTGACGAATGGCTCTGGTGTTATTAATTTTCTTGACCTCTTAGTTGTGTTTATCCTCTCTTCAGCTTGAAGTACTTCCAGTATCCTCTTTAGACCTGATTTTGTGGTTGAAAATTCCTTTAGTTTATTTTTTATCATGGAAAGTCTTTATTTCTTCTTTAATTATAATAAATTGTTTTGCTGTCAGTTGTCTTTTCAGGCCTTCCTGCCTTCAGTGCTTCTGTTATTCGGATAGCCCTACTTTTATAAGTGACTTCATCCTATGTGGTGCTATTTTGTTTGTGTTTTAATAAAGATTGCCTGAAGGCCAGAATACAGAGCTAAATCCCTTGAGGCCAGGGAGTGGTAGATCTCACCTTTTATCCTAGTACTTGGGAGTCCTTGCCTTTAATCTTAGCACTAGGAGGTGGAGACAGGAAGTGTATATGGCTTGACAGAGAAAGGAATATAAAGTAGGAGGAGCTGAAGGCAGGAACTTGGAGACAGGAACTGAAGCAGAGTCCATGGAGGAATGCTGCTTACTAGCTTGTTCTCCTTGGCTTTCTTAGTCTGCTTTCTTATACAACCCAGTCCCCCAGTGGGCTAGATCCTTCAACATTTGTTGAACATGCTCTAGAGGCATGTTTATAGGCCAATCTTTCTTTCTTTTTAAATATTTTTTTGGTTTTTAGTTTTTTGTTTTGTTTTGTGTTTTTTTTGTTTTTTTTTTCTTTATTTTTTGTTGTTTTTTTCTTTTTTTTTTCTTTTTGTATCTTTGTGTTTTTTTTTTTTTTAATACAGGGTTTCTCTGTGAAACAGTCCTAACTGTCCTGGAACTCACTTTGTATATCAGGCTGGCTTCAAACTCACAGAGAGCTGCTGCTTAAGTCTCCCAAGTTCTGGAATTTTCAGGCCGATCTTAAGGGGAGGCATTTTCTCAATTGACATTCCTCTTCTCAGATGACTCAAAATTGTGTCATTTTGACAAATTAAGCAAGACATGAATCTGAGTTCAGCAGTTTAATCCAGAGGAACATCAGACTCTTCCATGCATTTATAGGCATGAGGCTGAGATCAGTTTATCCACCTGTCAAGTGAGGTTGGAAGACTGAAGTTCAGAGAGGAGAGCCAGTCATCAAGAACTGGAACAGCCAGCTGGATAGGAAAAAAAATAGAAGAGGAAAAGAGGAAACACGAGAAAAAGCACCTATTGCAGAGCCCCAATTATGTGAAATGCCCAGGATGATATAAAATCACCATGGTCTCTAGCCGTGCTCAAACAGTAGTCTTGTGTGTTGACTGCTCCACTGTCCTCTGTGAGCCTACTGGTGGAAAAGCGAGACTGACAGAAGGATGCTCCTTCAGGAGGAAGCAGCAGAGTGACTCAGATGCCCAATGAAAAATAGTTTCACAGGAGTATAGTCAAGTCACGTAAAATACTACTGAGAGGTTAACTGGAGTTGAAAGTTGATACTTGACCTTGGAATCAGCAACTTAATTGAATTTCAGTTTCTTCATATATAAAAACACCATTACCTTAAGCATTAATGAGATCCTCACGAAAGAAATCATTCATAGAATTGGGGGAGTAGAGAGGTGGCTAAGTGCTTAAAGAGGTGGCTGCTTTTCAGCACCCACGTGTGATCGCTTACAACTGTCAGTAACTCCAGTTCCATGGGATCTGGCACTCTGCTGGCGTTTGCAGGCACCAAACATGTACATGGTAAAAAAGACTGGTAAAAAACAACCATACATATGTGTCTGCTGAGGACTGAGAAGTGTGTGTGTGAGAGACAGAGATTAAGGAGTGTGATCAGGCTCTTTGTTGGTTTCAGTTTTTTGAGACAAAGTCTCACAGTATAGCCTTGGCTGTCCTGAGAATGGAATTAACTCTGTAGACCAGGATGGCCTTCAGGAGAAGTGTGTTTTGTTTTGTTTGCATTTGAAATCACTACGCTGACCTTCCTGCTTCTACTCTGTATCACTATGTAGCTGGGGTGGGGATGGAGTTGAACACTGGCTTAGAATATGTGATGCTTTTGTTTTGACCGAAGCATCTCAAAATAACAGCAAACAAACTCACTAGTAGATATTTTTTCTTTAATATTAAAAAGGCCACAAATAAGGCTAGAGAGATGGCTCAGCTGTTAAAGGCTAGGATCTCAACATTAACCAAAAAGGCCCCAAATCTATCGACTTGGCATTCTGAAAACATGAGCCTCAGCTGCTTCATCTTTGGTCACAGAAGCTGCTCTTTGAAGCAGGCGGCAGTAGCTACAGACACTCCCAGTTTCTCAGAGTGCTGAGAACAAGTAACTGTTTGATGTTCATGGATAAATGGAGCACCAGGCTCACGTCCTCCAAGACTCAGGGAATATTGTTGAAAAAGGGATAGAAAGAATCTTAAGAGCCAAAGGCTGGGGCAGAGTATTAAAGAATGTTGTGACAAGGCTATGATTACCCATATAAAACCTACACTTGATTGAGCCCATCAGCATCTCATCATAGTATGGGAGAGGGACTCATGAGCTTTCACTCAAGGGACTATAGGTCTTAATGGTTATTGGAGGAGAGAGATGTTTCCTAAATGGCATAAATCTGGTAAGGTGCCCGTGTTCCTATAAATAGCCTCTCGCCTATAATTCAATTTAATGGATCACAAAAAAATACATGAAATATAATAAGTAATTAGAGTTGGAGAAAGACGAGAGGGTAATGAAGGTCAAGGGAATATGCTCAAATACATTATATGCATATGAGAAAATGTCATAGTGGAAATCATTGTGTATAATTAATGTATGCTAATAAAATCATAGGTTTTATTATGAATGTACTATAAATTTGAATACTTTATGTTCACATTATACTTCATACATTTTTATATTCTATATGTAATAAAGGTCAGTTTGGTTTTGTGTATTGTAATTTTTCATTGGAAAACAAATACAAAACTTAGAATCTTGCCTTAGATTTGAGGCAAACTGGCTGTAAACAGATTCTCTTGATTTTTTTTTTTTTTTTTTTTTGAGACAAGGTTTTTTGTAACCCTGACTGTCTGGTACTCACTATGTAGACCAGGCTAGCCTCAAACCTGAAGATCTACCTGCCTCTGCTTCCCAAGTGCTGGGTTTAAAGGTGTGCACCACTACTGCCCAATCAGATTTTTTTTTAATGTGGCTAAGTTTAAAAAGCAAATAACAAAAGAAAATGTTTCTGGTACAATAGCAGCATCACAAGACACATTATATGTACCTGGATAAGACACTCATTTCATAGTGATGCAACTTTTGTAGTTGTTAAGTACACAAACTGTTTTATAAACGTCCTGTAAAATACAAATAAGAGTGTTTAACAGAACTGATTATACTCACTTCAACAAAGAGGTCAATATGTATTTTCAGTTAAGACTTCTTAGTTTTGTTGTAGTTTGTTTTGTTTCTTTGGTTTTTCACAGCAGGGTTTCTCTGTGTATCCCTGGCTGTCCTAGAACTCAGATCCACCTGCCTTCCCCCACCAAGTGCTGGGATTAAAAGTGTGCACCACTATCCCACAGGTACAATATGTCTCTAAATGTAAATTAGCAGCATGGGATAGGCCCATTGGTGTCAACTTGATATTGCAGAACACTGACTTCCTATCTTGCTCTCTTTTCAGGTAACATTTCACTTGTTGCATTTCCAGTTTCCAGCACTCACTCACCAACAAAAGTTTTACCGAAAACCTTAGGGCCAATAAATGTGAATGTTGGACCCCAAATGGTAAGAAAACTATCGAATCTTGTATTTGACACTTCACTTAGGCAAGACCAGTTTATAGTATTATTATGCTGAAGATATTTGACAAAATACTTTACTAATCTCATTTACTTTAAATAAAAGTTTTATTTTTATCTGAGTGTAATTGATTAAATATTAATAAAAGTTTTTGTGCTCTTAATTTTTAAGTTTAACATATTTCACTCTGTGGGTTCTGAATGTGTTATACTAAAGATTTTCTCTCTTTATAAGGCCTCTCTTTTATTGTTGAATTAACTTGAAATCTATTGTATTTTGTCTGTCTTCTGTTTTCTTTTTCTTATAAAATAACCTTTGTGAGCCAGGCGGTGGTGGCGCACGCCTTTAATCCCAGCACTCGGGAGGCAGAGGCAGGCGGATCTCTGTGAGTTCGAGACCAGCCTGGTCTACAAGAGCTAGTTCCAGGACAGGCTCCAAAACCACAGAGAAACCCTGTCTCGAAAAACCAAAAAAAAAAAAAAAAAAAAAAAATAACCTTTGTGAAAACCATGTGTTTGCCTATAAATTGAATGATTAACTGAATTTATAGGTGTGCACCACTAAAATTAAGTTGAATTTATAGCTAGAGGTATAGATTTCAAATAGATTTTTTTTCCATTTAAAGGTTATTGTAGATCAGCTCATGCTTGAACTTGCATTGGGAGGCTACGTAGGAAGATTATCACAATTTCCAGGATAACCTATTCACATAGTGAGTTCCAAGTAATCTAGGGAAACTAGGCAGTGGTGGCGCATGCTTTTAATTCCAGTACTTGTGAGGCAGAGACAGGAGGATCTCAGTGATTTCGAGGCCAGCCTGGCCTACAAGAGTTAGTTCTAGGACTGGCTCCAAAGCTACAGAGAAACTCTGTCTCAAAAAGCCAAAAAAAAAACAACCAACCAAACAAAATCAAAACAACAAGTAATCCTGGGAACTGCAACTCTGTCTGGAGGGAGCAAAGAAGGAGAGAGACCAGATAGAGAGGGTGGGGGATAAGTAGCTGGGGAAACAACAATATGCCATTTTGAATTCTTTTTTTTTTTTTAAAGATTTATTTATTATGTATACAACATTCTGCCTCAATGTATGCCCGCATGCCAGAGGAGGGCGCCAGATCTCAGTACAGATGGTTGTGAGCCACCATGTGGTTGCTGGGAACTGAACTCAGGACCTCTGGAAGAGCAGCCAGTGCTCTTAACCACTGAGCCATCTCTCCAGCCCCCATTTTTAATTCTTAACTCTAAAAATAATGGATGGAAAATAATTATGTGTGTGTTTCTCTAAAGGCATTCATTCATTCTGCTATCACTCAGAAACCTTGTTTATAATCACAGTTATATTAAAATACTCTTGCCTGGTTTGGTGGTTTGTACATATAAACCCCACACTCAGGAAGTTGAGTTAGGAGGATTTTAGTGCATTTGAAGCCACGGAAACCATCTGAAAAGCCTACTGTAAGGGAGTGGAGAACAGTTAAGAGAATGGCTGCTCTTGGGAGCTACAGTAAGTACTCTCTTCTGTCTTCTGTGGCAGCAGGCATGTAAGTGGCAGGCAGAATACCCATTTATAGAAAATACACAAAAAAATCAGCCGGGCAGTGGTGACACCTTTTTTTTTTTTAAAATATTTATTTATTTATTTATTATGTATACAATATTCTGTCTGTGTGTATGTCTGCAGGCCAGAAGAGGTCACCAGACCTCACTACAGATGGTTGTGAGCCACCATGTGGTTGCCGGGAATTGAACTCAGGACCTTTGGAAGAGCAGGCAGTGCTCTTAACCACTGAGCCATCTCTCCAGCCCCCAGTGGTGACACCTTTAATCCCATCACTTAGGAGGTAGAAGCAGACAGATCTCTGCGAGTTCAAGGCCGGCCTGGTCCACAGAGCAAGTGCTAGGACAGGCTCCAAAGCTACACAGAGAAACCTTGTCTCAAGACCCCCCCCCCAAAAAAAAAAAGAATATAATAGTGGCACATGCCTTTAATTCCAGCACTCAGGAAGTAGATGCAAATGGATCTCTGTGAATTTGATGCCAGTCTGATTTACTTTTTATATATTTTTCTAAAGACTTATTTATTATGTGTACAGTGTTTTGCCTGCATGTTTGCATGCACACCAGAAGAGGGCACCAGATCTCATTATAAATAGTTGTGAGCCACCACATGGTTGGTGGGAACTGAACTCAGGACCTTTGGAAGAGCAGCCAGTGTTCTTAACCTCTGAGCCACCTCTCTAGCCCCTGCCAACCTGGTTTATAAAGTGGGTTCCAGGACAGCCAGTGTCTTGAAAAACAAAAAAACAAAAAACAGAAAAAGGAGAAGAAAAAAGGAAAGAAAATAATTATTCTTTCATGTTCTTAGCATATATCTTCAGGTTAATCAGCTTTTCTAAGGAATGGTCTCCTAGCCAGATGACTGGCAAGTCTAGTTGGATTAATGCTGTTTTTAAAATTATGTCATCTTTTTTATGCGTATAGGTGTTTTGCCTGCATGTATGTCTGTGTACTACCTGTGTGTACAGTACCCATAGAGGCAAGAAGCAGTAATTAGATCCACTAGAACTAGAGTTACAGACAGTTGTGAGCTGCCATGTGGGTGTTGGGATTTAAACCTGGGTCCTCTGACAGAGCAGTGGATCCGTCTCTCTAGACCATAGTTAATGCTTAAGATTGAGGACAACAGTATGTAATGATTTGGGCAGAATTTTATTTTTCATCTAGAATGAAATAGAAATCAGATTCTAGTTTTTTGTTGATGTTTTGTTTTGACCAAAAAGTCAGAGTTTTCCTGTAATGGGCCTTGATATCGCTACTTTTTTTGTATGAGAGATTTCCTTAGTAGTGTTACCAGGGAAACGGTAGGTGGGTGTTAGGTATATTTCTTAAGAGGAACTTCTCCGCTGACGCAAATAATTCCAACCAGACCAAATTAGACCGAATTAAGATGCCCATGTTTAATGCAGTGCTCCCTGGAGGATGGGAGCAAAACCTGAGACAACAGTGCTCCTCTTTTGGGTCTCAGCCTAAATAGCCTGTGGGAGTGGTCCTGACCCTCCCTGGGAGGGGTCAGCACTTGGCAGTCTTCCCATAGGTGGAGTCCGGACCAACGCAACTCCCAGGGGAGGGGCTTTCAAAGGTGGATGCCAGGTAATAACCGTGGGGTGTTGCAAGGAGCCGGCTTGTTAGTTCCTGGCTGCTCAGCACCGAAATAATCACACAGAAACTCTATTATTTAAAACACTGTTTGGCCCATTAGCTCTAGATTTGTATTGGCTAACCCTTATATCTTAATTTAACCCATTTCTAGTAATCTGTGTATCACCTCGTGGTCGTTGCCTACCAGCAAAGTTTCAGTGCATCTATCTCCAGCAGCAGCTCCATGACGTCTCCCTGATTCTGCCATCTCTTTCCCTGCATTCAGTTTAGTTTTCCCCGCCTAGCTAAATTCTGCCTTGCTGTAGGCTCAAGCCCTAGTGCTGGGATTAAAGGCATGCGCCACCACCCCCCGGCCTTTTTCTTTGATTTTTTGAGACAGGGTTTCTCATGTGTTATGGAGGCAGTCCTGGAACTCGTTCTATAGACCAGGCTGGCCTAGAACTCATAGAGATTCTCCTGCCTCTGTCTCCCAAGTGCTGGAATTAAAGGTGTGTATGTACCATTACCACCTGGCAGATTCATCAGCTTCTTAAAAGCTAGTTTCTAAACTGGGCAGTTTAGAAGCTCCAAAGCTTCAGAGAAACCCTGTCTTGAAAAGCCAGGAGGGGGGCGGGGAGCTAGTTTCTGCCCTTCCCTTTTGATCTCTTGGAAGCTGAAGCTTAACTGAAGGTAGAGATTTCAGATGGGACTGTCAAGCCTGCCTAGAAGGTAGAGGCACGTGCCGTTAACTTGCTGACAAATACATATGCCCACAAAAAATGTAAACCCCTCTCTCTCTCTCTCTCTCTCTCTCTCTCTCTCTCTCTCTCACACACACACACACACACACACACACACACACACACACAAACACACACACAGGACTGGGGAAAGAATTTTCATTGGTTGTGAAAACTAATTTATATTTTTATTTGTCTTTGTGTATATATGTGTCTGTGTGAATGTGTGCCCTACATGTGGGGGGTACCGGTGGAGGCCAGAAGAGGTCGTTGGACCCCTGGAGCTGAAGTTACAGATGCTCACATAGGTGTTGAAAACCTAATTCTGGTCTTCTAAAAGAGCATCAAGTAACTGCTAACCATCCCTCAAACCTGGGAAACTAACTTAGCAGTTTTAACTAACTTGCCTTAGTTAGGAGACTTGACCTTTCCTCACGGTTTAACATATAAATGATATATATCTTAAGAACATTCATGTGTATATTATGATGACCTCATAGCTGTCTTACTTGAGAGGAATAGAAGCTACAAACTTGCTGGGCGATGGTGACACACTCCTTTAATTCCAGCACTTGGGAGGCAGTGGCAGGTGGATCTCTGAATTTGAGGTCAGCCTGGTCTACAAAGTGAGTTCCAGAACAAACTCCAAGCTATGCAGAGAAACCCTGTCTCTAAAAACAAACAAACAAACAAACAAGAAAGAAAAAGAAACCACATGCTTAGTGAAAGCAAAAATGTCATTTAATAGAATATAATACTTAATTGTGAACGTTCTTTTTCAGAATAAATATGCTCTCCACTTTTTTAACTCTAGATGGCAGTAGTACTTTAGATATGTTTTTTAAGGCAACCAGTCTTCTTTGTAAGAGTGTTTAGTTACTATTGATTTTCCTAGTCTAACTAATCAGTTGTTCTAGAAATGATAGGCAGGATTAAATTAAAGATATTTGAGGTTAAGGTCTGAGAAACAGCTGATTCTAAGATTTAAAATGCCTTTTCCTTCTCTTAGCTGAATGTTAGAAGTACGTTTGCACTTATTTTCATATGTATACATATCTGTCCACATGAGTCAGTGTGTATATTTGGAGATCAGAGAATTCACGAAGT